CCCTGCCCGCCTGCCGGCTCCAGGACGTGTCCCAGGAGGCGCTGGGCTCCGCCGTCATCGGCATTGACGAGGGCCAGTTCGTAAGTGTGGGGCTGGGGGCAGGGGGGAGTCTGTGTCCCCCAGGACGGGGCGGGAAGCCCTGCCCAGGGCAGTCTGGTCCCGCTGGACCGCGCTCGGGTCATCAGACCTTTCCCCTGGTCCCCGGGGGCCTGGAGCCTGTTGTGCAGGCCGGCTGCAGGGCTCTGGTTTCCTTTGTGCCCTGCGTTGCTGTCTGGGCATGCGCCACTGGATCCCGAGCCAAGTGCTGCCCCTTCCTCCCCCCTACGCTTGCTCTGTGCCTCCTCTAGTTCCCAGACATCGTGGAGTTCTGCGAGGTTATGGCCAACGCTGGGAAAACAGTCATCGTTGCTGCTCTTGATGGGACTTTCCAGAGAAAGGTAAAATGCTTATTTCTTAGTATGGCAGCTGCTTTGGGATCCTGGTGGAGCCTGTCCAACAGAGCCGCCCCTGCTGTCTTGGCACAGGCTTTCGGGAGCATCCTGAACCTGGTCCCGCTGGCAGAGAGCGTGGTGAAGCTGAACGCCGTGTGCATGGAGTGCTACCGAGAAGCCTCCTACACGAAGAGGCTGGGAGCAGAGAGGGAGGTGAGCTCTCCTGCAGCAGAGCACGCTTTGGCAGCGCCGTCTTGCCAATCCTGCTGCTCTGGAGGGGTCCCTGCGGGGAGCGGGGCTCTGCAGCCTCACCCTCCTGACTTTCTTGCCAGGTCGAAGTGATCGGAGGAGCAGACAAGTACCACTCAGTCTGCAGACCTCTGCAGGCGGCCCCAGCAGCCTGGCTCGGAAGACAAGGAGAATGTGCCCATGGCGGTGAAGCAGCTGGACGCGGCTGCCTCCCGGAAGATCTTCGCTTCTTGACTGCGGGGCTCCCGCATGGGGAAGAGTGAGAGGAAGGGAGCTAAATGCTTCGTCTCCCCGACGCCGGATCTGGCTTCCCCTGCTTTTAGCAATTCTATTAAGTGTCTCAGCTCTACTTGCCAAACCAGGCTGCCATTCCTCTGCGCTGAGGGCTGGGGAAAAGAGGAGGATCGGCTGGGCCTGTTGCCGGGGGGAGCTGAAGCGGGAGCCTGACTAAAAGTGAGTTCCTTCCTCAGACGCTGGAAAAGAGACGGGTGTGGTTACCGGTGCTGCCACACAGACAGGTCCTGGAAAACTGTCGCAGCAGGCCGGGCGGCAGGGTGCTGTCGCTCGCCGTAGTTCTGGCCTGCTCTTCTGGCCTGTGTGCGTTCAGACTGGCGCTGGTGGCTGGTTCACTTGCCTGTGAACACAACCGTTTCCTTCTCTTGCGCACTGTTGCTACATTCCAGGTTTCTTAAGACAATGTACAGTAACTTTGTATTTTAAACCCGCTTCCTTTTTAATGCAGTCTGAGGAGATAACCCATTCCTTGCTGTAGAGCTGTGGCTCAGCTTCTCACTGACACACGCAGCAACGGCCTGGCCCTCCGCAGCCTCTGTGACCGACTGCGTGGCCCATCCCTTTGCCATTACGCCTGCTCGCTGCAACTGTCACATAAATTGTGTTGAAACAGAAGAGGGGGAAAGGAAGGCTTGGCTTGGCGGCCTAGCAGTAGGATCTTCCTGGCTTTTGAACTTAAAAGGACCGGCAGTTGTCCAGTAGCAGTCTGTGTGCTAAGACAGAGCCCTCTGGGGAGAACTAGGCTTCGCTTCGGGAAGGGTCACTGCTCCAAAACCAGGGGGGTTTTGCTCAGGACCAAGCTCGGTGTTGCTACGTCTGTGCTTCGTTACCTGTGAAGGGTTTGGAGGCTCAGGACTTAAAGGTCTGGGCTGCGGCGAAGATCCGGCTGCTTGGAAAAGGGGCCCTGCTTCGAGTGGAAGGTTCTCGACTCTAGTCGTGTGTTGCTCCCTCCTGAGCTGTCCAACATTCTGGAGGTTCTATTTCCTCCGCCACAGACTGGCGGAAGGATCCTCTTCCCCCTTTGCTTGACTTGGGTTCTGGAAGGTTTGGGGTTTTATCTTACTCCTTGCAAAAGTGCTTTTCCCTGTATACCAGCGTCCACAAGCTCCAAGGCGCAGCGCTCGGCTCTGGCCGGGTCAGACCCCCCGTGCAAGCGCAGTGCTCGCTGTTTGCCTGCACCCACCCGGCAGGAGACGGCCCCTCCCCAGGAGGTCACGAGAGCTGTCTGAAACCTGGCTCCCTCCACACTGCTTGGCGTGATGACAGCTGTGGCACTCGAAAGCACTGCAGTGCCAGGCCTGGGCTTTCCCCTCAGGGAGAGGGAAGCCAGCACTGCTGCTGGTTTAGCACTAATAAATTTAAAACTTCATGAAATTGTCCGTGTGTTGATTACCAGACTGCTCTGAAAAGGCTTCCCGCAGGTCGGGCTGCGCAGACGGGGCCGGCTGGTCGCGTGCAGCAGCAGCTGGGGCCGGGCAGTGTTGGAGCTCTGCTCAAACCTTTGGCCAAACAGGAGGGCTCGCCTAAAAATAGCCCCTGGCGCGAGCATGCTGTCGGCTCCTGCCGTGTCCCTGCCGGTAACCCCCAGCCCTCGGGCAGGGGGGGAACCCGGGTTTGCGTCCCCAGAGAAGAAAAGCATGTGGTGGCGAGGTGAAAAAGTTTATTCCATCTCTACAGTGACAAACAGCTATTCGAATGCCAGCCCCAGCAGCGACAGCTCGCAGACCACACGCTGCTGCTGGGAGCAGCTTCACAACAGCGCAGCAGAAAAACAACCTGAGTTGGCCAAGAGCGCGGGCTGCGCAC